CAAAGCAGGAAATCCACTCAGAATCATAATATCTACAATAAATAGCCCTCTATATAAAATAGAAACATATTTACATAAAATTCTGAACGACAACATCCCTAAACCAGAAAATGTAGTAAAAAATAGCTATGAACTAGTAAAAACTAACAGGAAAAAATTTAACACAGACCATAGTTTAGCTTCATTTGACGTAATATCACTATTCACAAACATACCAATAGAAAAAGTTAATGAAAGCATCAGCAAAAGATGGGACCACATAAAAGAAAAAACTAACATACCACTTAAAGAATTGCTAATAGGAATCAACTTAATACTGAATTCCACTTATTTCACATTCAACAACACCATATATAAACAAATCTATGGCACACCCATGGGCTCACCATTGTCACCAATCGTGTCAGACATGGTAATGCAAGATTTAGAAAGCACAGCAATTAAACTATTAAATTACAAACCCAATATATACATAAGATATGTAGATGACATCTTAATTGCAACAAGAACAGACAAACTCAAAGAAACATTGAACGTTTTCAACTCAATAGAAGACAGACGAAATTCACCATAGAAATAAGACCAGACAACTCAATCAGTTTTTTAGACACCCTCATTACAACAGAACAAAATGAAATAATTTTCAATCACTACCAAAAACCCACAAATTCAGGCAGATTATTAAATTTTAACTCAAACCACCCAATACAACATAAAAGAGCAATCATTAGCAATATGACAGATAGAATCTTAACATTGTCACATCACAAATTTCACAAGAGCAACCTCAATAAAGCAATAAACTCATTACTCGAAAACGGATACCCACTAAAATTTATTTTCGAGAACATGAGAAATAGGATTAACAAATATAATAATGACAAAAAAAGTACGGTAAACAAAGAACATAGCAAAAAAACAGAAGAAAAAGAAAAGAAATATTTCACTATACCATACATGAAAAATGACACAAAAAAACTAGAAAAGAAAATCAAAGAACACGGATTCTCACCCGCATATAGTTGCCACAATAAATTAAATACATACATAAAAACCGGTAAAGACAAATTAGAACATAAAAAACAAAATGACATAGTATATCAAATAAATTGCAATCAATGTGAAGCCACATACATAGGACAAACAGGTAGACAATTACAAATCAGAATAAAAGAACACCGTAAAGATATAAATAAAAAAACGGGAACACTATCAGTAATATCAGAACATAAAATAAAGTATAACCATGAATTTGAATGGGACAATGTTAAAATATTAGACAAGGAACCAACATACAGAAAACGGTTAATATCAGAAATGATACACATAAAAAGACACACACAAGCAAATAAATAAACAGAGTGATACGGATTTCCTACCAAATACTTACTTACCTACACTGAGATCACTCCCTCCAATCAACAAATAATCATACCATCAGTAACGATCTCTCAAGACAAGACGACTCAGTAAGAAACGGAACAACAACCAAAAGTAACAAGTACACAATAAAAATCAATCCAGACAGTCAGAAGAATTAAGGTGAGAACGACTAACAGCACACACAATTTAATTAAATAAGAACAGTCAAACTAAGAACATTAAACCAATAAATAAAAATCAACAGTTGCCATGTCTGACACACGAGGAAAAAGCAAGGGGTGGACAAAAAGTTCGTAAAAATGGACAAAAGAGACCTACACCAAAAAAAAACAACCAGTTTAAATTTTGACTAAGAGACGCAACAAAAATTAGATTGTAAGTAAAAACAGCAATAGGGCAGAAGAAGACCCAAAAATTACAAGTAGTCAATTTATATGTAAGTTTTCAGTAGTAAAAACAATGTAAATTTTATCCGTTATAGCGCTGAAGAAGGCCCAAAAAAGGTGCCGAAACGTTCGACAATTAGATGTAAGATATACGACAAACACATGTAAAATATATTAATAAATAGCACCTAGAACAAGCTAAGGCTCAATAAATAAGCGTGTATCACCATTTTAAAGTTTAATTGAAAAACTGAGCCTAATTAAAAAAATTCTTTTTATATGTATAAATGTATTTTATATAAATTAATTTTATTTTATTATTTTATATTTAAAAATTAATTATGTTGTGATTTTTCTTTGTTTTTGTTAGTGATTGCAGTCCTGCCATGACATCTAGTAGAGCGATGAATGCCGATTATAGCAAAAAGTTGTGGGATATATCTTGTCGACTGTTGCATTTGGAGCCCGAGGAAAATTTTGTTACATTATTAAATACTATCTCACGTCAAATTGCTGATTAATATCAGTTAAATTTATTGTTACAGTTTTTACTACACTCTACCAGTTTCATGTAAAATTGAAACACAATATAAGGGGCGTCATGAGAACCGAATAAGGTAGATACTGCAATAAAATGATAATTCCGGGTGTGACGTTCTTCTTCTGATATATTATGCGACAGATGAACAAACATAAGTCTTGTCCAAAAGATCTTGAAAAGCCTTGTCGAATGAGACTGTACAAAAGTCTGTATTTCTTATCATTTCCGAGAAAGTCAGGTTCGGGGACAGAATCAAGAAACTAAAATATTTCACAAATGTAAGCAGATAAATAGACAAATATAAGTCTTTTTCTTGAGATGTCTTACCGAAGTTTTATCATCAAGAATGCAAAATAAGGTACGCAAATTGCGATGTAAAGTTACGATTACTACTACTTACAAACTACGAATTGCGCAATCGATGAAAAAGTGACTAATGAGACTAATCTTTATTATATATTTATAAATTATATAATACACAAATGTATAATACAACGCAAATTACGATGTAAAGTTACGATTACTACTACTTACAAACTACGAATTGCGCAATCGATGAAAAAGTGACTAATGAGACCAATTTTTATTATATATTTATAAATTATATAATACACAAATGTATAATACAAAAAGCACAAATATAAAGCACAAATTATATAATACTAAACTTTTTTTGCAAATTATAACAAACATATTAGTTATACACAATATAAGAAATTTTTAATTTTTGATACTTTTTTCTCTAAAGAATCTGTTGTCTGTACATATCTGCATATATTTATACATATATCTTCATCAGTGTATTATTCTTTATCGTATGCTATGCTTTTATAATAGAGAATACCGTGTTAAATCTCCGCAATGGAGGGCAAGAGATGATCAAATAGCCAAAGTTTTATGGGATCACACCTGCCGACTTCTGGATTTAAAACCAAAAGAAAATCTTACCTCATTTTTAAAAACCATTTTCAATTAACTTGTTTAATAACATTTGCTTATAAAAAATTAAATTAAGAATATACGACGGGGTCTTCTATTATTCAATAATCAATTACATTAATAAATAAGCTGATAGAGCCAGAGCTGCATTCTTTTACGTGCTCAATTATTTATTCAAATTAAGAGTACAGACGTTTCGGCCATTGTTTTCGGCCTTCCTTAGTGTACGGTAATTTAATAAGGATTTGATAACGCAAATGTGTGAGAACGCATTCAATTGTTAAGTCTTAGTACATTTAGTTTTTTGTAGGCCGAAAACACAATCAAACGATAGGGAAGGACGAAACTGTCTTCTATATGATGTCACTTTATATTTCCGAAATTCATTTGTAAGTAATTTCTTAGTACGTATTAAAATTTTTTCTTGAGTGTTTGTTCGATAGAAATAAAAATTGACATAATTCATATTTGTTAGCTCTTAACTTTTATTGAAACACAGATGTTATTAGGAAGTCATAATTTAAAAGTTTAAATATTTATAAGTTAAAACTGCTAAAGACGTTCTTCTTCGAACGTTGACGAATAATAAACAAGTGAGGAATGACCAAGACATCAATTTATAATCATAATTTACAACAGAACTTGGCAATTTTAACTTCTAAATACTTAAACTTTTAAATATTAAGTATTTCTATCTTTCTTACTTACTTTAAACTTATTGCGACGTGTCATATACGTTCGACGTTCAATGATGAGAACAATCGAACTTAATAATATATTTAAAAAAGCTGTTAATAAATAAAATTTGAAATTATTATAAAATTGATGAGTTGTTTATTTGTAATATTTGTTGATATTTGCAACATTAAAAATTAAATTTGTGAAAGTTATATTAATAAAGAAGATTTCTTTTTCTTCTTCTTCTTCTTATTTGAGATCTAATAATTTGTTTGTTTCCGAAGTTACTGGTACCGGTTTTCTTATGAGGTGGATTGCCAACTATATTTTCATCTTTTGAGGAGTCTTTCAGGTGAGCGACGACCATTCGGTTTTTTTTCGAGTATTATGCGTGCTGTTCTCTCCCATTCGTCTCACATGATTACATCACGGTCGTCTTCTTGGAAACAGAATTCTTGAAAATTAAAGGCAGAATTTCAGGGTTTTGAATGAATTTTTATGAACTAACATGATCGCCAATAATTTTACTATATTTTTTTATCTAGAAGTAAATTTGTACATGTCTAATTTAAAAAATTTTGAGCTCTTAGAATGTAAATCTATACCTTTATTTAAAATAAATTTTCACGGAGCAGCAACAAGCTGGTCCGGCTGAACATTATTATCAAGTTGTTTTTCTTCAGTTTCTTGACTTCAGTTTCTTCATAGAGTATCATATATCAACATAAATAGTGTTCTTGTAAATGCAGTTGTAAGCGTAGGCAGCCTTTCACGCGGTTCAACATACACTACTTCAAAATACAAGGTCACATTTTTACATCTAAAGATAGGCCTTGCTCCACCGGTTTCAGACGTTTCTGAAGTCAGTTGAGTATGAGTCTTGAGATGTATCGGTTGATCAGATGCATTATACTCATATGAGTTACGTTATTGTGTAATTTTAATTTATTATTATTATAGTTAAATGTTCTGCAATTTATTCATTATAATTTTATAGCTACGTACTCACTCTGATTACAAGGTTTGTTTGTTCTTTTTCTCATTATTTTTTGGTTAGTTTAGTTGGAATGCGTTAATGCTTAATAACTTTTTCTTTAATTTATCTTTCTAACTTAGCTTTACAAATCCAAAAGTGATTATCTCACTATTTACGCAACATTTTGTTAGGTTACAATACATTATATTTTTAATGCCCAAATAACTAAATAATCTTGATTTTAAATCTTTACTTTTTTCTTTTAATGAACCATCCACTTTGCTTTCTTCTGTATTGCCAGCAGACCTTGCCAATTTTGCTCTAATCAATCTTTAATCATAGCAGCATGAGTTTTCCTTGTATTTTTATTATTTTTCTTTTGTACGATAGACATTCAAATTACAATAACTGATGACAATTATATTTTCTATTGTTTTATAAATTACTTTTTTAATTTTTGTTTGTTATATAACAGCGCACAGAAAAAAAAGAATTTTTCTTTAAAAGTTAACGAAATCGACGTTGCTATTTTATTATTAGATGTGATAGTTGGGACATGTGAAATATGCCTTATTTTTGTACGCTTGTGCAATCTATTGTAATTAGACTATCTACATATAATTGACACATGATGTCGTACATTATACATTGATTCCCCAATTACTCAGAATAAGATATTGTAGTAGTAAGCATATGTTTGAGATAGCCTTATTTTCTAGCAAAATATCCAACAGATAGCACAAAATTTGTGTTGTTGATAAAATACCTAAATTTCGCTGAGTATATTTGTTTGTAAAGAAACATTAGTATTTTTGGCTTTTTTTGTGAATACAATTAGATGCATTTACGCTTATGCTATACTAACAGTTTTATGCTAATGAGAACCAAAATCTGACCGAGTCTTCTTTATATACCAATATATATTTTGTGTGATATTGATTTATTTGCATTGGCTTTAACCCGTTACTTTTAAGACCATATCAGCGGTGTCGTGAAAGTTGAGCATGATATAGAAAATGTGGCCTTTTAATACCTTGTGTGGTAGTACAGCGCGCCTTGAAGGCAAAACTGTTATCATAACAGGAGCAAATTCCGGAATCGGTAAAGAGACAGCCAGAGATTTATACCGAAGAGGTAAGTGAGAGCAAATTGTACATGGAAAGAACACTTTTACTGAAAGATCTACAAATTGTGCCACATACAGATCAAAAAATAAATTTTGTTGGTTATTCAAAATTTATCAATACAATACTCGATCTTGGTTGGATCATCAAAACTTTTTACTGCAATATGAAAAAGATAGAATGCTCTATTGATAAATTTTGATTATTTTGATATATCAGGAGTACAAATTAGTTCGGTCCGTTTTTCAAAAGATAGCTCTGGCTGTTGTGAATGGTTCATAGTGACAGCAGATTTTGGCGGTTTCAGAGAGGTTAGACATCTGCTAATAATATTCAGTTTATATCGCTTTGAGTTTCATATAAAAACCTTGATTTTTACTGTGTTCGAAATGTCGAATTTTGTGCTAACCAAGCAGCATTTGCGGGAGGTTTTAATTTTCTGCTTTAATTGGAAGAAAAGTGCAGCTGAAGCCCATCGAATGCTTGTCGAAGTTTATGGTGACACTGCTCCAACTGATAAATCATGTAGGGAATGGTTTCGACGTTTCAAGGATGGAGATTTCAGCGTTGAAGACAAGCCTCGCTCTGGACAGCCAAAAAAATTCGAAGACAAAGAATTAGAGGCATTACTCGAAGAAGATCAGAGTCAAACGCAAGAGGAGCTTGCAGGATCATTGGGAGTAACTCAACAAGCCGTTTCTGTACGATTGAGAGCCATGGGAATGATACAAAAACTAGGAAATTGGGTGCCTTATGAACTCAAACCGAGAGACGTTGAAAGGCGATTTTTCACTTGCGAGCTGCTGATTCAAAGGCAACAAGAAAAGATTTTTCGCAATAACTTGGTATAGCATACATTATACGAAGT